GAATTAATATTGTAGTTAATTGCATACTTGATCAAGTGAATCTTCTAGCCGCAAACGAACTTCTATCTCTTTTTCAGGAATCTGTGAGTTGGAAGATTCAACAGGACTACTAGGCCTGGATATACTAGCAACTGCTGCTTCACACGCTTGTACTGCTAATGTTAATTTTATTTTTTCTTCTTGTAATTTATCCAGAAGATTCTAATAATATAAAATGATTTACTTAAGATTTATTATACAGTTATATTGCATTATTTTTTAAATACCTTATATACATCATGTTGTTCTTGAGCCTGTGCTAGAGTCCAATTTTCTTGAATAGTTTTATTTATCAAAGGTTCATATCCATCCAAATTTGACGAAATACTCTCCAACATATCTTCATACTGTTTAAATTTTAACAAGGATTCTTCCAGTCTTGACTTTATTTGATGGGCTGTGTTAAACAACGAATTGTAACTATCTTGTACGTTCTTTAACTGAAGTTCTACTATTGACTTTATTGATGGAGTTGACATTATATAACGATGAATTTGAGTGGTTCCTTTAGATTTTAGATTGTTTAATACATCTTGATACCTAAGAGTAATAAAAAAAGTTTGTTATGTGTACATTTTTAAATTATTATTTAAGTTTTCTGTCTTATTTAAAATAAAATCATACTTTAATATATGATGATGAACACACAAATAATATTATATTATAATGTCGTATATGNTAAAATAAAATCATATTTTAATATATGATGATGGACACACAAATAATATTATATTATAATGTCGTATATGCCTAAATGCTTGGCATATACGTATATTGTATTATAATATAATTGATAATTATCAATAAAAATACTACAATATGTATTTCATATTAATAATAAATAAATAAAATAATTAAGCGGTCATAATGATCACACTGTTCAATACTATAATTTAAACATTGTTAACAATACTGTCATATTGTAATAATCATGTAATATTTAATCTATAAAATAAATTGACATCCACTAAAAGCACTGACAACAATATCTCTGGAATAAGGGTACCATCACACACTATAAAAAGCACTGAAATCCTTTCAGACTCCAGTTCTCTTTTGTCGAATCTATATCAAAAACAATTACCAGCCACGACCCCATGTTGTTGTCGGCTACATACATTTTATTTTCATACGAAAAAAAATTGTTAAAAATTTTATTTTGTGACAAGATACGAATTAGATATCCCTAAGCATAGATATCTAGAGATTTGACGAATCATCAGCAATTTGTAGCTACAAAATACAAGTAAATTTATGTTGTCCCAATTATTTAGAGTTAAAAAGTCTAAGTAGAGAACGACGAAGCAATAGATAATTCATTATATTAATATTGTAGAATATTATACTAGACGGGTCGGGTAAGA